ATCTCAGTTTTCAGTATCATCATAAGAGCTCTAGTTTATTAAGTACCCACCATGTGCCAAGCTTGCTAAACACCTTACCTGTATTACTTCTAATTCCTACAACAACTCTGCAAATTAGGTCTCACCACCCACCTTTTACAGATGGGGAAACTGAGACTCAGTGCTGCCTCTCACTAACTTTCTTCTCGTTTATTCGACTCCCTTGGGAAAATACTCAGTTCACAGCTGATGTTATATGCTTGAGGTGTGTAATTGGGCTGAATGCACACAGGTCTACAGAAATGTACTAAAGACTTCTATGACAAGATCACATCAGACACTGCTGGGCCAGCCCTAGACTATTTGTCTACCTAACCTCAAGGAGAAAAAGTATTGTGGGCACTTTGGAGGAACAGTGTCTTTATTTGAAGTCACCCTTTGAGCTGTTCCTCTTTTTTTTTCTTAAGGAAGATTCGTCTGAGCTAACATCTGTTGCCAATCTTCCTCTTTCTTTGCTTGAGGAAGATTAGCTCTGAGCTAATGTCTGTGCCAGTCTTTTTCTACTTTGCATGTGGGACACGGCCACAGCATGGCTTGACGAGTGGTATAGGTCCATGCCTGGGATCCAAACCCACAAACCGGGGCTGCCCAAGTAGAGGGCGCCAGACTCAACCACTAGACACAGGGCCAGCCCCTGAGCTCTTCCTCTTTGAACTAGCAGAATTTAAAATTAGGATAATGTCCTTTCCTTCTCTCCTCCTTAATATCTCTAATTCTTAGCCTAGACGTTTCAACAAACAAAGAATCGTACCCTAGAACCTTAGAAATGTATGTTCTGAGTTAACGTTTCTTTAACTTTTCAAGAAAATAATACAGACAACTGAAGAGGACATGGAAACCTTTAGAGAGTAGGGCATAGCAAGGGAAATGGTGGGCAAAAGCTCTTTGAGGTTTTTTGAGTCTGCACCAAAATGCCCCTTTGGTTCAGACAGCCCTGCCTTGTCAGCCTCATTGGGAGCTTCCGTTCGTCCAGCTTGCGAGGGCCTCGGAGGAATCTTTCTCTCTGTAGCTTTCAGTGTGTCCTTTGCACAAGGGTGGAATTGTGTCTGACAGTCCCTGATTCTGACTATGTGAAGGGTCTTTACAAAGACTTCATTCTGTAGTCCCTTAAGGGGAAAGGGCATGCTTCAGCCAAGAGAATTGCTATGCATCTCCCAAACCCAGGCCACTCCCACTTCCTGCCTTCTGACAGCTGAAGGTTTCAAGGTTCTCCTTTTAGCACAGTTCTTTAAAAGTTTAAATGAGGGGCCAGCCCTGTGGCGCAGCAGTTAAGTGCGCACATTCCACTTCAGGGCCCAGGGTTTGCTGGTTTGGATCCCAGGTGCAGATATGGCACCGCTTGGCAAGCCATGCTGTGGTAAGCGTCCCACATAGAAAGTAGAGGAAGATGGGCACGGATGTTAGCTCAGGGCCAATCTTCCTCAGCAAAAAGAGGAGGACTGGAAGCAGATGTTAGCTCAGGGCTAATCTTCCTCAAAAAACGAAAAAAAAAGTTTAAATGAGATGTGAAATCATATTATAGAAGCAAGCTGCCTGTCCAACCTGGTAGGGCCACATGCAGGTGGGGCCCCTTGTAGTGCTGAGACGGGGCCACGCCAATAACAATTCGCTCAGGTTACCCTTTCTTAAGACAACACTGGCCATGAGGGAGCTCTTAGTCTCGATGTTTTTGATTTCCAGCTCTTCTGTTCATAAAATATTTGGTTCTCAGAGCTGCTGACAGGTGATAATAACAAAAATGAAACTGATTTGAATTTGACTTTGGTTATCAACTCGCTACTGTCAGAATGAAAAGGGCAAGGAATGGGCCTGTAGTCTTGGGCTTCTCTGAGGTTTCCCCACGAGGAACAGGCCCCACTCCTACCTTGCGGGGCTGGTGTGAAGAGCCAAAGAAACAGTGTCTGCAAAGCAACTAATGCAGTTTTTCTTCTCCTTCTCATAGTAATCATAATAATTTCAGAGGAGCAAATGCTTGGGAAATGAAAGTTGTAGTCTTGGGTCTACACAGAGTTATATAGATTTATACAGATTTGTAGATTTATATGCATTTATATAGATTATATAGATGTGTCCCTCAAAAAGGGGTGCTTTCTTAGGGTGACGGTGAACTTCCAAGGTCTGGAAATGCTCTTTCTGCCGCATGACCCTGTAAGTCATCTACAGAGTTGGAAACACAGCTTTGTTAATGAGTACACCAGTTCGTGTGTCTGTGTCTGTGTCTGTCTGTCTGTCTGTCATTGCGTCCAAGTGCTTCCTTGTGGATGAGGGACCCTCTGAACCCCACTTTGGCCAGCTGGGCCTTTGATTTGAGGCCTCCTTTAGATATAAGAAGGCAGGGGACTTAGGTGGCTGCCACAGATGCTTTATTCCAGTCCATGGGGTTCTGGCCTGTTTGGGATGCAAGGCTGGGGTGGGAGGAAGGGCTCCCTGACACCTGTCACATCACAGCTTCTGACCACAGTCCTCACAGCCACAGGGAAGGAGGTCTCTGTTCCCCGGCCAGGGGACTGAACAAACACAGGGTTTAATAGTAGTAATAGTAGTCATAGTAGTCATAGCGGGAGCTAATATTTATTGATTACCTGCCAGACACTATATTTTTCCCATTTCATCCTGGTCAGAACCCTATGAGATAGACCATGATTATCCCCAGGAAACCAAAGCCCAGTAATTTTCCCAATGTCACACAACAGTATGTACATCCATATATACACTGAGAATGTCCTCTTTCCATCCCTAATAAAACCTCCATGAGCCCTGCCTTTCCCCTCCACCTAAAGACTCAGCATCCATTTGCAAGTCCACTCGCTGGGCCTCAAGAGTTGAGGAGATATGGAGAGCATTGACTGATACGTTCCTAGCATTGTGTTGATATGTTTGCATGTGTCTTATTTCCATGTTGGAGAATAAACTCCAACAGTCAGGGTCCATGAGCTTCTCCTTTCTAGCTCTCTGACATGTGGCTCAGAGAGTGTCTCCTAAGAGGTCTGGGCCAAGGCTGGGGATGGCGTCTGCTTGGGCAGTGTCCCCAGGGGGCTCTCAGTGGGGCATTGACTACTGAGTGCACGCGTCTCTTCTCAGGAAGATTGGTCACCCAGTTTCTCTGCCCACAAGATGTTTTATGCAACAAGTACAACAAACCTGGAGATGACACTGGGCTCAGACACCCTGTAAGTAGCAGGAGCGAGAATTGGCAATCTGATGGTGGAGGAAACCAAAACAGGCTAATTAGTGAATCACGTTCAAAGAGAACACGCAATCTGGGGCCATGTAGCGTGGGAACATGCAACCACTCATGCGTCCACAGGCCCTGAAGACTTCATCGTGTGGCTGCATGATTTTATTTATCAAATATACATGCACACACGTGCGCACACACACATACAAACATGTATGAAATTATGTCCTGGGCACTATTTAATCACTTTATTACTATTAACTCGTTTAACCTTAAGCAACCGTGGGAAGTAGGTACTGTGCTGTCTTCATTTTATAGATGAGGAAACTGAGACACAGAGAGGTAACTTGATCAAGATCCCAGACCTATTAAGTCACAGAGGCAGGATTACCACCCAGCCAGATGTACAATAATAATTCATTATGATGACACTTAAATATTAGGAGAATATGAAATATTTCTAATATATACCTATTGTGACAAAGAAACATGTAATACATTGAGAAATAGTTTAATGCGAAATTATTGTTTTCTTTAAGTTTTAGATACTTTTTTTTTTAAGATTTTATTTTTTTCCTTTTTCTCCCCAAAGCCCCCCAGTACATAGTTGTGTATTCTTCGTTGTGGGTCCTTCTAGTTGTGGCATATGGGACGCTGCCTCAGCATGGTTTGATGAGCAGTGCCATGTCCGCGCCCAGGATTCGAACCAACGAAACACTGGGCTGCCTGCAGTGGAGCACGCAAACTTAACCACTCGGCCACGGGGCCAGCCCCTAAGTTTTAGATACTTTTAGGAATAAGTTCCAGCTGTTTAGAAAATTCTGTTTTTAAAAGAATATTTCTTCAAAAAATTGAAACATAGTGTGTATATAAAAAAAGAAAAAGGTCGAAGGATGCAAACAGTATTAAGCCGTGACTTTACAAAGCCCCTATCTGTGACAGTTTCTTGCAGACGGGGCGGGGACTTTTCGATCCATATTATCTGTCAGGGATTACAGACCGAGAAGCCCTGTGCTTTGACCAAGACACCCCGGCCGGCTAGGTCAGATGTGGAATTTAAACCCCAGTCCTAAACGTGCCTTCACAGGATATATAACCTACTGGAGAGAGGATGAAAAATGTTCAAAGGAACAGTCATGTATAGTCTTTCAGCTTTCAAGTAACCTGTTTTGTTAGCAAATGAATCAAAAGCATTTTTGCCTTTCTTGTGCCTCCCACACATACCAAGCATAGTCCCTAAATATGCGATACATATCCAGTGAATCCTTGTTTGTTTGTTTTTCATCCATTTTAATTTAGTGTGGATTAAAACTAAGACATCCCTGGATTGCACCATCCCCCTCTGTAAAGTTGTGAGTTCCGGACATGGAGAGGTAGCTGTGGAATGTGAGCAGCCCGGGCCCCAGCTGAAAGTGACTTGTTCATTGTTCCTTTCAGTTTCTCCTCTTCATAAGATATTGGTGTCCTGAATGGATCGTCCGTTTGGCAATTTCTTGGTGAAAGGCTGAGTCTTGTACATACCTAATATAATACAAGTTCTTACCAATATAAAATAAGGGCTTATTTGGGGCTTGGTAAAACTTCCATGCCTTGAGGTATATACAGTTAATAAATCAGCCAGCACGTATTTGTGACGTATCTACCTTGTGCTCAGTAGTCACTGATAAAGCCTGGGTTCTGTTACAAGGAGACGTATGCGGAGAGAAAATTGATTGCAAGTAACTGTCTCAGGCTCTGCTTTGAATTTCTCATTCACGTGTTACTCTTTTCTTTTCCCCTCAAGGGTCGAGATTACTGTTCGGAAGAAGAGGATATCACATAGCACCAATTCTCCCACTCAAACCCGGAGCTACTACTGTGTAAATAGGTTACACCCCAGTTGAAATCTTTGCAAAGGTCGGTTCTCTTCAATGAACAGCACTATAGCAAAAGAAGATCGTTCCATATCGTATGCCCCATTAAATTACAGTGTTTCTTAAAGAACTTGCAAAGGAATATTGCTAAAATCAAACAAAAAACTGTTATTGAACTTTCTTTGTTGCTGCTAGTTAAAACTTGTTGCAACTTTTCACTTCTCGTGTCCAGGTATGCAGCAAAATTCTGCAATTTCACCTTAAAGATCCTGTTGGTTTTACAGATGCTCTCCGACCTATTTTCTATAAGATGAGGTAGTGGTGAACTCAGATATCAGACTTTATTCTAGACGGTTCCGCTTCTAAGACAAGCATCTCCTTCCCCCCTCCCTTGCTGTCTCTCCCGAGCGGTCCAGAGCCTTGCTTCTCACTGGCAATGTTGCGCTTTAGAGATGGGATGGTTGCTATGGCAAGCTTTGTTTCTCTGCTAAGAAGCAGCAGAGAAGCTATTATAGGTTAAAAGCATGTTGTGACATGACTCCTGGAAGTGACATAGGAGCGAGCAGCGGGTTCTTTCATTTACTAGGTATCTTAATCAAGGATTAAGCTTGCAACATTGGCTTTGCTCAGACGCAGACGGAAGTGTGATCACAATCATTTCGAATCCCTCTTCCCCACTTTTTTTTCTAAGAAAATAAACATTTTACTGTTTTTATGTATCCTTGTCTTCTCCCATTCATCCAGTTCAGTGTTTTGTGATGATCCTGGGTGTGGAAGTTGAGCCCTCCTTTGCAGTGACACCAAGAATTGATCTTCGTGGCTCCCTACCCTCCCATTAGTAATCCACCAAGCCTCGGCAGGGCTGTGAGTGGTCAGAAGAGATGAGGGGAGCTCTCAGGACTTTTCAGGAGCCCTGAAACCACCCCGTTACCTTTCATTTCGTTAGCAAATAAACCATCCTACTGCCTCATTCTCTCCCTTCGAAATGTCACGTGAGCCTTGCCTCTTCCTTGTCTGCTCGCTCGCAGCACTGGATAGTGAGTGAGAATTGTTTGCCTTCTGGAAAACATGGTACCTTTACACTGGTGATGATCTTTGGAGATGCACAGGCCAAAGCCCCAGGGCAGAAGTGGGAATGTTAACTGTGGGTTTGGTAGAGTTTATTTTTCCATATTCTATGAAGAGAATGATCTCTTCTGAAAGACAGAAGTAATATTTTTAACAAATGTTGTCACAAGTAAATAGCAATCAAAAGGAGAAAATAACTTTTGTATTTTTTTAACGCATTTGATAGCTTTGCCGAGGGTTCTCTTTGTTACTTTCAGGGGAGGGCGCCCTATTAAATGCTATGCCAGCGGTCCAGGTTTGGGTTTGTCCCACAAAAACACAGAAGGAGCACCGGAGGTTTCTCTCTTTGGGGTTGTGAATACAAAGGGCCTCCATATCGGGCCACACTGCCAACCTCCGAAGATGGGTTAGTTACTATGTTCTGGGTAGTCAGAGAGGTCACCTGCCACAGAATAGAAGAAGCTCTATTTGTTCTTGCTGAGATGAGCCTGGACTTTAAAATCCATCCACACAATTGATGGCACCATTGATGTGCTAATGGTGAGATTCCTTATCTCCTTTTAGACCCCGGGCACAAAAGTGAGAGGAAGGAAACTCAGTCCAGAGCTATTGAAAATGGACTCAAATGTTAGCAACAAAAGCCCTTAATTCTTTCAGCCAACAGCAGCTATTCTGGGGAGCAGCTGTGGTTGTTACATAAATAGAGACACAGCCCAAATGTAAGGCTTTTTATCCTGCTTCAAGCAGAAAAATGCAAGGAGAGTCAAGTCGCCTAAGGTTTTAAGTTCCCTCCCTTTGTATGGTTTTTGGCCAAGTGACTAAAATAGTTTTCCTCAACTGTAAACGAACTGCTAAGCCCCACCTCAAACTCGGCCCCTCCAGACTTTGTTCACTGTTATGTGGATGACCTTTTCCCTGGATTTCTTGTTCTGATCAAGCAAGAATGAAGCAAACACTAAACGTCTTCCATTTGACTCCTCGTCTTGGTGTCTCAGATAGTGTCTTCCCTTCCACCTTCCGCCCGAAGATGAAATGTGCTCGTGTCATTTTTCTTACGGTCATGTTTAGCATTTTGACATGATACACATGTATGCAGAACCAAGTGTTTCTTGGGAACCTGACTTTTGAGTGTTTCATAAAACCAGAAGTGTCGTGCCCGTGGATCAGTGGCCTTTCGCCCAGAGTTCTGTCTCCCAGGTTTAACACTGGATACCTCTTTGATGTGCAAACATACTTCATCTGCAGACACATTTGGTACATCTAGAAATAGATCTGAGAAATGGGGTGGTTGAGCGGGTTGGCATGGAATGCTTGATTATGTTAGCAACGCTCAAAACTGTCTGTTTCCCATTTGTTGGTTTTAATCATAAAATTGTCAAGTGATTTGTGTTTGTACGTTTTTTTATGCCTTCTGAAAGGGTCTAATGCAAACATATTTTGCCTTTTTTTCCCCCATGTATCTGAACATTAAGCGGATTGTGTCAGATACTATGAAAAGAATAATCCAGAAGCTAGTGCTTCTGTTGGCTGTTATCTCTGAGGACTCAGGGAGATGGAAGGAGGAGGGGAGGGAAATGGCCTGGTGGATGGAGGGAGGAAAAGGATGAGAAAGGGACTGAGAAGCATTTAGCAGAGAGAGTTGATAGAATGGCTGTGTGCTGGGTGCAGCTCAAAATCCAGCTGCCTAGCGGCCAGTGGGTGGGGCTGACTGTCAACAAGATTTACAGCTGGATTACACACGCCTTATGTGCTCTGAGTTGTAGGGTTGTAAAAGTTCAGCAGTTGATGTGCGACTTTCTTTTGGTTGGCGGAGATTCAGGCTGGGGCAGTACTGCTGTCATAATTGAATACGTGTTTGTCACTGGCAGAGAACCTTAAAAGAGGCTTTTACCTCAGCGATGGCTCCTAGCCCCAGGCTGGAGCATAGAGTGGTATTATGGTCTATTTAGGAACAAAGAGAGTACAAAGTCTGGAGACCAGAAAACTAGGTCAGCCCTCCGAAACGGCAGGGGCCACCCACCGGCTGCTAGGAGACTGGTCTCTCCCCGTCTACAGTGCCCGTGGTCTGGGACTGGGCTTTGATGATTCAAATAAGAGCTGACCTGACTGAGGAGTAACCTCGGGTCTTCCGTCCCCTACACTGGTGCCAGCCTCCTCCACATTAGAAGGGAGCACCTCTGTGTCAGGGGCTCACCCAGGGTCAGACGTGGCCATGCCTGCAACCTGACAGCCCCCAGGAGCAGGCCCAGGGATGACAGCACCCACGTTTTCATCCCATCCGATGCCATCCCTCTTGGAGTCATAACTTTGTCCTCTTCTCAACCTCATTGCTACTTTTTTTCTCTTAGGGCCTGACTCTCCATAAGCCTGCTAAAAACAGAGATTATGCCTCTTATGAATTTTACCTCAGTCCTCTGCGAGGCAGCCTGAGGACTGGCTTATTGATTATAAGTCCTGCTTAGACATTTGGCAAGAATTTTAAAGAGCATTCCATCTTTGTTGGTCTTAGAAAAGAGACTCAGTTAATTATGTTGGTTTCATAGGAAAGAAAATTATCAAATTCTTAATCCAGGAAAATACTGACTCTGAATCTTAGACTCTGGGATTCTGATATGTTCCTTATGAAAGGCAAAACAATGGCATCTAAGGTTTTCTCCTTCCTCCTCCCAACTCCCTTATTAAAAAAAAAAAAAGGCATTAGGTTGCATTCTATAATTTTATGTAAAATCTGCCTTCCGTGCTTTTCTCCCTGGAGGACATTCTCAGAGCTTTATATCTTTGTACCTCTCAGAAATTAAACATTTTGTTAAGTTACTTAAAACCCCAGTAGAAAAATAGGGCATGGTCGGGAGAAGCAATATGTATTTAAGGGCATAATGAAAAAGTGGCTTCAGGCAGGAACTTTGGCTTCTCGCTGTCACGAGTGGATTACTGGACTCCCCAGGGGCCTGTGGAAAGCTGGGGATGGGGGAGGGGAGCGGGACGGAGACAGTTGGCTTTCACACTGCACACGTCCCTGCAGTAAACCTCTGGAATTTCATGAATGAGGTCTATGACTTGCCTTTGGCCAATGAATGGATGTGTTTTTCCAGGGCAGAGGAAAATGTCCTTCACTTCACTCACCTTTTCATGTGTCTCTAGAAACGAGTCAAAAAGCAATGGCGGAAAATGAGGATTGTGGGTGAAGGTATTTACTTTTGTGACAAACCTTAGGACTCACTAGCTATGCCATGTTTTTCAGGGAACTCTTGTACCTTTTCTGGGATCTAATCTAATCTGGGGAAAAGAGGAAAAGGAACTAATACTTATGGTTTATACTCACTCTGTGCCAGATCCTGTGCTAGGCACTTTATAATTGTCTTGTGTAACCCTCACAATAATCCTGTGGAGTGAATCTGTTACCCTCACGTCCTGAGTAGAGTATCTTACGTGTGGAATGGATCTATCCCACCTAAATGCCCACATTGAAAGAAAGATGTCATTCAAGTACTTCCCAAGTTTTTTTATTATTACTATGCCCTTTGCAACACTGTGAAAACAAGCCTTTGGGGGCATCTACCTTCCAGAATCTCTCTCTGGCTCATCACCAGCTTGGTTTCCCCATGGGAAGTGTTTTACTTGGCCTTCCCCTATCTGATGAGCTACACACAAACCAGGAGAGGCCACTGGCTAATGGAACGTTAGAGCCCAGAAGGAAAAGGCTTTGGGAATTTAGGCACAAGTCTCTCCCCTTGGAATCCTTTCAGCATCCACAAAAGGAACCTGTACTTCTACCGTTAGAGACCAGATGCGACCAGCACAGGCTTTCGAGCGCTGTGATTTCTTTCCTGGGTCCCAAGGCTTATTTCATTGCAAGCCACATCTTTTTAGGGTGAAGAGCCTTCACTTTGCAGAGAAGGTTGGGAGACTCCACTCTCCAAAGGTGGAGGAAAGGCCTGGATCATTGACTGGAAATCCTTTCTTGTGGGCTAGGTTTTGATGTCTCTTTTTGATCTTTAAACTGGGAGTCTGCATTTTCCAGGTGAGTTTAAGCACTGAAACTAGATGTGAATCTCTTTAAGACCTTAAATGTTTTGGATAGTCATGTAGTGACTTGGACAGTCATTTAATACCTTGTTCCAAGGTCAGAAGAGCCCAAGAATTCCCCAGAGTTCCTCTCCTTGCTTCTAAAGGCACATCCTCTAATGAAGATGACACACGTCTCCATAGCAACTATTAAAGGTGCTGCCTGGAGGGGACCCGCCCCTGCCCTCACTTCCTTAACCTGGAAGAATCAAAAGAATTTGCTTATGTAGAGGGGGGTGCTATGTCCAGTTTTCCTTTGAAAATTGTCCCCAAGATCCTGCCTCTTTCTGACCTGGCAGCTGTCAAATTCCTTCAAGATAATTTGGGAAATGGCTCTTGTCTCTTGGAAGCCAGAGAAATTGCTCTAATTCAGCAAGATTTACCCCTAAACTAAAGGCCCCATTCTAATACTGTCTTCCCTCTCGACCCTGAATTCTCCCTTTGTCCCTTTCCAGGGCTTAGCCCAAGCCTTTGAACTTGATTGAGTAAGGTTAGAGGCAGTAAAAAGAGCCATAAACTCAGCCAGAACTGCCTCAGTGTCCCTAGGGTTGAAAATAGTTCTAGAACCTTGAGGGCCACTTGGCCCAAACGCAGAAGTGATAGAACAGCTCCTGGTTTCCTGGCGTTCGGTCCAGACCTTCAGGACTGTTCTCTCTTGACAGTCAAGTGAGCAAGGGAAGTTTTGCAGTAGATTTCAAGGCAGGTTTTCTGTTCAAAGCAAGATGCAAATTCCTAAAAAAAGAAATTCATGTCTGTTTTTCTGGAGCAGAACCAGGCAGCTGCCTTATTCGGACTGTAAATTTTGATCTATTTCCTTCACACACACACACATGAGATACACGGAGAAAGAAAAGATAACTACTTATCATTGAAATACTTCCAGGAAGAGCTGTATTTTGCCTTTTTTGTAATCCCTAAGGTAATGTCTGGGAAAGGATTACTGTAACTATAATAATACGAAAACAGGGAAATCTAGTGATCACTCTTGCAAAAGCTTGACTTAGACTCGACCAGGAGGATGGAGGCCTGCTGGCCATCTCGCCTTCTGCTCCCTCTGAACCAGGATGCCCTCCACCAGCATGTCTGACTCACCTGGGCCTCTAGCCTGGATATTGTGGCTGGCATCCTTTCCCAATCCCAGGCACATAAAGGACACATCCCTCAGGATCCATGCCAGGTCCAGCCATATACAGCCACAGCATTTCTCACACACTCTCCTGCTCATCCAGTGTGGCCTTGATTATGGCATTTCAGTAGCTCCACTGGGACACTCCAACAGCAGTGTGTGGAGTTGGGGCACCTTATCTAGGTTGTCCCAGATGTAGCATTCTTAGCATTGCCTTCCCCAGTGTCAAGGACTCGTGCATTCAACAGGTTATCTGTAGAGCACCTCGTATCCTCCAGGCACTGAGCTAATCGCCAGCAATACAGCTGTGTTGAAGCAAACACAGCTCCCGCCCCTAAGGAGCCTACTGTTAGTGGGGGAGACAGTGTGGGAGGGGCCGTTGTAGGGATGACTACTGGGTGCTGTGCAAGCATCTTGGAGCAGCAGCCACTCAGCTTCAGGAATCAGGGGGCCTCCTGAAAGAGGTGACATCAAAGCCCAAGGTTGTCAGAGGACTGAGGGAGAACCTTGCCAAGGGCCTTCCACACTGAGGGGACAGCATGGAACTCAGCTCAAAGGAGGGACACTGTGGGCCGTCAGGGTGTGCATGCCATAAAGCGGCTGGAGCTGGAAGTTGAGGAGAGAGGAGAGAAGAGAGAGTTGAGGCCGGGGCATCAGCCGGCCCATCCCACAGGGCCCCGTGGGCTTTGCTGTGGATTCAGGGGGCATAAAGAAGAGCCATAGGTGGTGCTCTGCCCTCTGAAGCAGAGGAGACTGC